AGAAAACTATCGGTTTTATCGAAAAATTACAAGAGGTAAAAAAGTTGCGCAATAAATCAGTCTTCCCAATAAATATTTTTAAATAAATAATTTGCTTCATATAAAAAATTTCTAATAAAATATTGCAATGGGGTTGACCGTTTCACTCCTTTATAAAATACGCCAATGATCGAACAAATATTGAAAAGTTGTCTCTTTATTAGTAGGATGCTCGTACCAAGTTTCGAGTCTCTAGCATTCCTCATGTTAAAGAAAAAAATTAAAATGTGAATTTCAGTCCCTTGCAACTTTCATATAAGGTATTTTTACTTCAATCGTCTTATTTTTGGCTCTACATTCACTGGTACCATTTTTGCTACTTCATTTAAAAACACCCTGTATATTTTAGGTGCTGTTTATAACATAGGTATATCGTTGTACACCACTGGACCACACCACATTATAATTTGTTTCCCAAAGAAATCAAAATGTACGTGGGAAAACCTTAGCAATTCATTGCCTTATGTTCGATATATTTTAGGTGGAGGAAAAACTATGTTCGAGAATGCTAGAATCGTGGCTTCTGTACCGGCAAGATGGCCGTTTCATCCATCGTATATGCACACGTTTGGTTTGGTAGACAGTAACAACCGTTCTATCATATTCAAAAACTATTAATTTTAGGCGTGACAGAAAATTACTTTATAATCGTGGAGCAACCGCTAAGTATATCCGTACCGTCAGCCCTTAAAACCAAGTTGCAAAACGAACCGCTGATAGGGTGCCTCAAGTGGTACCAAGACGAATATGTAAGTACAGAGGTGGTAAGTTTATTCGAATCGTCTCGTTATCGATTTGCAGACCCAATTCAATGTGGTATCAAAGACACTTGGAATTTTGTCGTACAAGTTTTTCGCCAAGGCCTTCTTCTATTTGCATATAATCAACCAGTACGAAACGGACAACTACATCGTTATAGATATTTGTGTGTATCGAGACCCGGGAATGCTGGAATGTATGTACATCGATTCTATGAAGGTAATACATTCGATTCTAGAAAACTTGATATTTCGTCATGGTATTTCAGAGTATGCAACAAAATCCGGACTATGCAAAAATGTTCAGGGGGCGCCCGGCTAGATTCGTACTGCCCTTAAAGCCGGATCCTATGGAGGCGGATATCGGGAAGAATTTGGTGAGTTTGGAAAATTGCAGCGCCAAGGCGTACTATTTGCCCACGGGGGATATACTGGTTGTGCCGGAGAGGATATGCAATTTGGGCTGCGAGACACCCAGGATAAATTACGAAAATTCTTTGGGTAGAATTAATGTTCGAGTAACTTTGCGGAATGATTATTTGTTTTTGTTTTTTTAGGAAAGCCTTACAGATACTTTTATGCGATAAGTTCGGATGTCGATAGGGCAAATCCAGGCACTGTAAGTCTGACTGAATATTGTATAAGGTGTAATTTTGAATTTGTGGGCTACCTTTGCACTTTAGATATACAGGGTCGGAAAGTCCCCATGGTTCACGTTTGGCGGAATCTTAACCATATAAATGACCATTTGAATATAGAAAAACATTTTTTTTCTATATTTCCTAGCACCTTTTCCTAAATTTCTGACCGGTTTTTTTAAAAATATTAAATGTTTCAAACAGGTGTTTGTTGCCGCGTTAATTCGTGACGTCATTTAGTGCGATCCATAATCGAGAAAGTGAATGACGTGGACAGGGACAATCTATTTTGTTTCAAGGGTCTTTGTAACATACTTGATTCTTTTGTGACATAGCCAGATACAATTTTAATGAAATCATTTATACGATTTAGGTCGTTTCCATACATTTTACATAAAGAAAACACCTCACCTCTTTAGATTATGTTACTTCTCGCCACTCTGAGAAGCAGGTTGTGTTCTCGGTCACACTAAATGATGTCACAATGTGATTGATCTCGTGATAAAATTTAAATTATTGCTTATTCTAGGCATCTATAATTAATTTCTAGCATTAAGAGGGCTCTATAGCAAATAGGCAACCAGCAATACATTTTTATCGATTTTATTACACAGTTTGTCTAAATATGAATTAATGCACAAATAACAGACTTTCCCCCATTCTAAAGCAGATTTTCTATAAAATGGAGTTAGTTTGAAACTCAAATTACTTTCTGGTGTAAAGAAATTTGGAATTTACAATGTTCAAAAGCGGCAAATTACAAATTTCTTTAAAACAAAAAGTAATTTGAGTTTCAAACTAACTCCATTTTATAGAAAATCTGCCTTAGGATAGAGGAAAGTCTGTTATTTGTGCATTAATTCATATTTAGACAAGCTGTGTAACAAAATCTATAAAAACGTATTGCTGGTTGTCTATTTGCTATAGAGCCCTGTTAAAGAAATTAATTTTTTTATCAATGGTAGTTATTATACACAAATGTATGCAGTTCAAAAAGAAATTGGATTTTCATGCCAGTTGCTGTCAACAGAAGCATATGAAAAAGTGTTTTAAAATACAAAATCAACGTGTCCCAAGAAATTGTTTCATTGTTTTGGAAGTAACCATTCTCTTTCACACTTTTCCTCTTACCTTTGTCATTTTCCTCTTATTTTTTAACATTCGTAATGTTTTATATTCTTAGATAGTAAAGATAGACGCACAAACAAAAACGGCACAGACTTGGTGCGAGGAAAACTGCTATCCAAGCGAACCTATATTTGTGGCAAGTCCCAATTCAAAGGTAAGTATTTTTACAATATTTCATAAATCACTCCATATTTTTCTAGCTTCTACTGTTCTCGATTTTTTGTTTAGTTTGAAGATGACGGTATAATCCTAGCAGCGATGGTATGGGGTGGAGAAGATGCTAACCACGCTGGTTTACTAATTCTGGATGCAAAAACCTTCAAGGAAATCGGTAGGGCCGAGTTTATAACGCCCGGACCTGTGCCGAAGTGTCTCCATGGATGGTTTTTGCCGAAAGGCAAGACGGAGATCGAAAATTAAACTTTTTCGTCGCGTTTTTACAGAAGCATAGAACAACCTCTAAATATATCTTATTTATTGCGTACAAGCTGAATAAATGTAATTCCGACTAGCAAGTCTATCCTAACCTATCAAAATGACAAGTCGGGTTTTTTTCACTCAGAACTTTCGATTTACGAGTCGAAAAAAGTAACTTCAAATTCTAAATGAGAAAAATTCGACTTATAAGTTGGAAGTTCCGAGTTACTAGAAAAAAAATGTCAATTCGATTATCTAACCTCACATAACCTAACTTTACCTATTGACAAGACATTTTTCCGGCTAGTAATGCAGAACTTAAAATTTACGAGCCGAATTTTTCCATTTAGATCTTTAAATTATATATTTTTTATTTATACGTGAAATTTTTCTCAATAAACACGGAAATATAATTTTTCCAATTTACGAGCGGAGCTATTGGAACTTTCGCTTATAAAAAAAATTAAAAATGTATTTGGTATTCCACTACGGGGGTATTTTCTTCCAGGATTCTTTTAAAAAAAAGATCGGTAATTCAAAATTAAAATTATGTAAGCATATATTGTTATAATGTACATACACTTCTAATAAATAATAAACTGTATAAGAAACAACAATATTGAAATGTTATTAATAAAATATACTAACATCTATGTATACATATAATAAATAAAATCATTAATTCTAGTTAATTCTTTTTTTTTTATTGACTTAGTAAAAGTTTATACACCCCCTCGTTAAGTGATAGACCAACTAGAAACTTAAACTAAAAAGAATGTGGTTTGAAAAAAATATCCATTTTTAAGGGTTAGAAATAATTTTTTTTTGCGGCTCTTTGTAAAAATCTTCGGCCTAAAATAAATATATATCTCCGATATGTGTGTTTTTGTAACTTACCGTGTTCACAGAAAAATATATTCTCTATTAGGGATAGAAACACTGACTGAGGTACGTCCTAAGAAGATTTCAAGCGCATGCCCGTTTCCTTGCGTGAGGCCCGGAGGCGTAATGCGTCGGAACTCCGTCGGGAAAACCATGGAGGAAAAAAAAACAGTCGACAGTATCACACGGGGAAGTGTTTAAGAGAGTTTGCTGTAGCTGGGCGGTGAGAACTTCTTCCTCAGGAACTTGAGGATGTAGAGCGGCAAGCAGGATATCAGAGTGATCACAAGCACCTTCCAGAAGAAGTCCTTCGTTCGAATGAACTCGGCGTCTGGAAAGAACGGAATGATCATTCCTCATTTCCAAGTGGATATGTTATAAAATTATCCATACTGAGAGTGTCATCGTAGAAATTTAGATTTAACTTGGAACAAATAAACAAGTAATGGTGTATGAGGCGGGGATTAAACATTATTAAAATTATGTTACACAATTCTAAAATTCAACCAATAGGATTGGCTACAAAAATATATAAATTTAAATATGGATTTAGGAAAACAGGTGACTAACATGAGGATTTCTTCAAGTTAATGAATAACACCGTCTTTGGGAAAACGATGGAGAATGGGATGAAACGCAAGGACATTAATCTGTTGACACAATGGGAGGGTCGGAATGAGGCAATAAATTTAATCAGGAAACCAAGTTCCCAGTTTTCAACAAAGATATGGTAGTCGTAAAGGTGAATAGACTCAAAATTAAATTCAACAAACCGATTTATGTTGGATTCAGCATTTCAGATCTTTCCAAAATTACCTGTCTGTTAAAAATTGCGTATATATTTTAAATTTGACTTTAATGTTTGTCGTAGTGGTTTGTGGAACACTTACCAAAATAGTCGTGTAAAACTATCAGTGACAAGCCGTAAAGGCCTAAGGAGAACAGCTCGGCTAAAACCATGAGATAGTGCCATGTCCTAATGTTCAAAGCTACCATTATTAATTCGGTCAAGATGAGGGAAGTGAAGCTGATGGCTACGATGTGTATAAATTCGTCTTCAAATAGGAGAAGAGCCCCGTACATTATCACGCCGCCTGAAAGAAAGACCGGTTTTAAAAATACCGTGTATGATGATTTTTTTTGAGTTCCTACCTTGATATATAGATATCAGTACCCACATGAAGAAAGTTTTGAAGGAGAGACTTCTCCCTTTGGCTAATTCCTTGTACAGTTCGGGGTAGGTAAGGGCTATTTCAGGGCTGACGTCTTGGTCTAATACTAAGCTGAAAACCTGAAAAACAAAACAAGTAAATAATTTATTGTTGTTGTAAACAACAATTGTTATATATTTGTTTCTATAACTGAATATCTTTTTCAAGATTATATTTTTTAATTGGAACACCCTATATATTTTGAAAATCAATGTAAAATTTCTTTTAAAATGATCATATTGTACAAAATAATTATACAATTTTTTTCCATGATGCAAATATGCAAAATTGTTTATCTGTCATTTGACAGTTTTTATGATACAATTCATTCTGCCATCCATTTTTTCCAGCTTAATATTCACGGTACGCTTAAGTGTATCATGAAATAATTGGATTGAAAAACGCACAAGTTAAAAAAAAATGTAGCATAAACCTCTTCCTAAAAATTTAAAAACCTGCAAAATAGTCAGGTAAGCAATTTAAACATTTTTGGGAAGGTTTTTCGTATTCCCCAAGGCGATTATCAAAAAGTAGTTCAAATGTCCCAAGATACATTTTAGAGAAAATGGATAACAACAATCGCATCTTAATATCTTGATTTTTTAAAGATATATAAATAAGGCATTTTTCATTTTAGGTTCATTATTTGTAATGTCAAAACAAGAAACATTTTTTTTCTCAGTATAATTTTTTTTCCAATTCTTCTGTATTATAGTACAAATCACTGTTATCAATTTTTTTCTTTTAACGATGGCAAGCTTAAGTGTATCAAGAAATGGTTAAATTAGAAAAATAATATACGTCGAAAATCAAAAAATATGTTCAGATTATAATTTAAAAACACACAAGTTATAAAAAAAAATCACATAAACCTCTTCATAAAAATAAAAAACCTGCAAAATAGTCAGGTAAGCAATTTAAACATTTTTGGGGTAGTTTTTCGTATTCCCCGAGGCGATAGGCAAAAAGTAGTTCAAATGTCCCACGATTTTAGAGAAAATGGATAACAACAATCGCATCTTAATATCTTGATTTTTTAAAGATATACAAACAAGGCATTTTTCATTTTAGGTTGTCATTATTTGCAATGTCAAAATATGAAAAAAATTTTTTCTCAGTATAATTATTTATTTTCAACGATGCCAAGCTTAAGTGTATCAAGAAATAGTTGAATTACAAAAATAATATACAATGTCGAAAATCAAAAAATATGTTCAGATTATAATCGAAAAACACACAAATTATAAAAAAATATCACATAAACTCTTCATAAAAATAAAAAACCTGCAAAAAAGGTCAGATAAGCAATTTAAACATTTTTTTCGGTTTTTCGTATTCTCCGAGGCGATAGGCTAAAAGTAGTTCAAATGTCCCAAGATATATTTTAGAGAAAATAAATAACGACTGCAGCTCAATGTCTTGATTTTTTTAGGGCATACAAGGCATCTTTCATTTCAGGTTCTTATGTAACGCCAAAACATGAAAAAAATTATTTTTCAGTATAAAAGAAAATATATTTTTTTTGTAATTCTACTATTATAGTTGAACAGTTGAATTACAAAAAAATTTGAAACATCAAAAATGTAAAAAAATATAAAAATCGATATACGACTGGATTTTTCACAAAAATCAAACTTTCACAAATAAAAAAACCAAAAACTCCATCTATAACCTCGTCTTAAATTTTCTCTATAAGGGACATTTGAACTACTCTTTATCTGGCTTCATGAGAAACCCCAAAAATCATCAAGCGTCAATCACTGGAGAGATATACTATTATTTTGAGGTACCATCCCTACCCAACCATTTACAAACAAGTTTCCCCGTTACTTACCGGGAACATCGTGTATACAGTCGCGTATCCCACCATGAGGAACCCTTGATACAATGCAACAGAGCTGAGGTAAAAGACGCTGCTAAACACTGCCTGCATAGTAGATATAATCAGACCTCTATGTATAACGAACTGCGCCAACGAAGCCGATCTCTTGTAAGACTTCCTCCCGTGCACCAACAACAGCCTGGCCAGGTGCGAGAATTGGGGAATGCTGAAATCCCCCGCCAAGCTGGCCTGCTTGCCTTCGCGTCCCTCGATACCGATCCCGGCGTCGGCCTGTTGGATCATGCTGACGTCGTTGCCGCCGTCGCCCACGGCCGCCGTTCTCTTTCCCGTGTGTTTCTGGATCAATTGTACCTACGAACGAGAGTCACGAAATTTTTTCATAAATAAAAGCTAAACTACAACGTACCACTTGCGCCTTTTGTGTGGGGGAGCAGCGGCAGCACACCACGGCCGGAGCGGCGGTGGCGAGTTCCATGAACTCCTGCTGGTAGTAAGACAGGCACACCTCCAGGCTCTCGCCGCTTATCACCAGGGCGCAGTCTTGTTTCCTCCTGTACGCGTTTAACTCTAAGTGTGCGTCTGTGCGAGTGACGACCTTCTTGAATACATGAAGACCTGCGAGCAAACCGACGGTTTTGTAATTACCGTATCGAAGAAAATTTGGACAAATGGCTCTTGCAAATAGTTTTCCCTGACGCATATTGTTTATTTTGCATTTTTGATGTCTAAACTGTCGAAATAATAACACGTCTTGCCCACTTGTATGCTTATGACAAGCACTGACAACCTCGGCTAAACAAAGGTAGAAAAGAGTGCTTGTAACAATATAACATAAAGGCGCGCGCGGTTTGAACATACCATTGGAACACTATGCGAAATGAATAGCACATTACAATTCCAACGCAAAGAAAAGAATACACGAAATTATTTTATTCGAAAAAGAAACAGCAAAATTTCTGCCCACTAATTTGACACCGGAGTTTTATAATTAGTTAAATTCAAATACCTTGTGCTCGGGACACCAATCTGGAACTTTTGGCGATACACGTAGCCGTTTCGAGTTTGTCCCCGGTCAACATCCAAATCTTAATGCCGGCGTTCCTCAGCAACTCCAAAGTCGCCCTTACGTTATCCTGCAACTTATCCTCGACGCCGGTTATACACAGCAGCTCCATTTCTCTTTCCAGGGACTCGACGACCTGCGCCACCCTCGCAACCCTGTCCGTCGTCGATAAACGTGCGACGTTGTACCGAGTCTGGGAACACAAAAATTTTTCCGAGCGTACAAATAAGTCGTTGCCGCGAAACGTGTCGTTACCTCAAAGTCCAAATACTGCTCTTCGGTGAGGACTTTCTTCGCCACGACTAAGGTCCTCAGACCGTCTCTGGCCATGTTACCGACCTCTTCGTCGAGCCAATCCGTATACTGTACGATGGCGGACATAACGACGTCGGCGCCTTTCAAATAAAACAAGATCTCTCCCGTGTGCAGATCCTAGAAAGTCGGCGATTTTACGTAACGTTAAGATCTCATACGGAAAAGATTCCTACCTTGATGATGATTCCCATCCTTTTAGTCTCGCTGGTGAAGGGGAATATCTGGAGGATGGCGTAGTTCAGAAGCCGCCCGTCGGGTCCTCTCAGCTGCATGGAGGAGAGATCCCTGCGGCTCAGCGTCAAGCCGACATCTTGAGTCCACTGGACGAGGGCCACCTCGTCGGGACTGGAGGCCTGGTAAGTCACAGCTTTGTCGGGCATCTGCAGGTGCTGGTCGGCCTCCGTTTCCGAAGTAATTGAACCTGAAATTCCATTATAAAAGTTGGATAACGTTAAAAAATATTGTTTTTAAGAGGCAGCGTTCCTAAAAAAGCAGTGTTTTCTACAAATACAAAGATTTTAAATATTTAATAACTGAATTATTTAGGGTTTACTGCATTGCAATCATTTTATATTGACATTTTGTCTATTTTCAAAAAGAACAGAGAACAATGAACAAAAAGAGACAAATCTTTTTAAATCTATCCCTTTTCCACAGAACAACTCACTATTTTTTTTCATATTTAGCAACTTTTTATCCAAATTGCATGCAAATTTTTGAGATTGTGGCAATATGTGACACGATATTGTTTCCTTTTGTGTTATTGCCGAAATATCAATTTATTCAATTTTACAAAGAGTGCTTTGAAAACAAAACACTTCTATCACTTCAAACAAAATTTTGACAGCACAGTAAAATTTTGTTTGACAATATCAATGTTTAGACAGTTAAAAATGCAATTTTCACACGAAGAGGAGCAAAATAAGCTTCAAACATATTCATGAATTAATACGAAGAATATCCTGGCTTTGTTTCAAGTTATAACCTTCTAAACTATGAAACTGTCAATTGTAATTTTACTAAACTGTCAAAATTTCTATTCCAGTGATAGTTGAATGTTTTGCTTTCAAAGCACTCTTCGTAAGAGTGAATAATTTGATATTTTGGTAAAAACAGAGAATATGAGAACTAGAAAGGCAGGCAAGTACGCTGATACGGACTTGACATTTTCCTCGGGCCTTTGGCCCTTGAGCCGCACTGTGCGCGGTCCAAGCACTGCTCCGCGGTGCATTCTCTGTGGGTTAGTAAATATAAAACATTTTTCAAAAAAAAAAAAAAGAAAAATGCGACCCGCCTGCGATTCGAACCCCCGGACCTTTGGCTTCGCAGTCGCGAGTTTCCAAAATGAGCTACGGCGATCTAACACAGGGTGGAGCCAGCACGGGCTATTTGAAAAATTTAAAATGTTCAAATCGCGTTTTATCGCCAAAGTAGCGTCTTTGAAAAATCGGAACTAGTGCCTAACGGCAAAATAACGACCTGCCGTGGTCCGATTAGCCAGAAAAATGCTTCAAAAGACAAAATTTATTTTGACGTCTTCACCGACGCACTATAATTCATTTGGACTTAGGTATGGACAAAATTAAGTAGCGTCTCGTAGAAAAAAGATAGAAAAAAACAAGAAATAGCGTTTTAAAGCTTAAGTAGAACAGATTAAGGGAAAAATAATCACATTTCATCAGCACCCCATTTACACCCTCAAAATTGAGCCCCAAAATTATAATTTTGGAAAAAAATTACATTTTTTTGCTCTCGTTTGAAAAAAAAAATTTTTCAAATGGTACAAAACATTATTTTATAGTTTTCGAGATGAGGAATAAGAATCCATTGTTTAAATTGAGCTAAAAAAATTTAGAACCCTCAAATTTTGTTTTTAGCTGATTTCAGCTCTTATGCATCAGTTGCTTGAAATTTTGACAGTGGGGAATAGCTCAAGAAACAAAATACAGTGTATTTAATACACCCAATGCTGATATATATTTTTACCCTGGGGTCGGTTTCTACCCGTTTGTAGGGGTTGAAAATAAATTTTGTCAAAATAATCCCGGGAATTGATAGAGCTACTAATTTCAAGCAAAAAATTTTTCATACAATTGTTTTGATAAACCAATACTTTTTGAGTTATTTGCGATTGAAAACACAATTTTTCAATTGAATATTTGAGTTTTCAATCGCAAATAACCCAAAAAGTATTGGTTTATCAAAAAAATTGTATGTAACATTTTTTGCTTGAAATTACATAGTTGCACTATCGATTCCCTGGATTATTTTGACAAAATTTATTTTCAACTCCTACAAAGGGGTAGAAATCACCACCAGGGTAAAAATATATATCAGCATAGGGTGTATTTTGTTTCTTGAGCTATTCCTCACCTACTGTCAAAATTTCAAGCAAATCGATGCATAAGAGCAGAAATCAGAGCTAAAAAAAACATCATAAACTGAAATATTCGTAAATTTAAGGGTTCTAAATTTTTTAAGCTCAATTTAAACAACGGATTCTTATTACTCATCTCAAAACCTATAAAAAATGTTTTGTACCATTTGAAAAAAAAAAAATTTCAAACGAGAGCAAAAAATGTAAATTTTTTTCCAAAATTATAATTTTGGGGCTAAATTTTGAGGGCGTAAATCGGGTGCTGGTGAAATGTGATTATTTTTCCCTTAATCTGTTCCACTTAGCTTTAAAATGCTATTTTTTGTTTTTTTATATCTTTTTTCTAAGAGGCGCTACTTAATTTTATCCATACCCAAGTCCAAATGAATTATAGTGCGACGTTTGTCTGCTTCTCTGTCTAAACATCGGATGTGCTTTGGGTATTTCTCTCGCACCGAAAAAATTAAATTTACGACATGAACTCATTTTAAAGAGGAATTTTTTTTTAGAAGACACTAAGGAATTGCTTCCAGAATATGACGTTTGGATAAAGGAAGGACCGAAGGGCGCTTTGCGACTCACGAAGAAAGTCTTTGATAATACCGTATCTCTGTTTTCGCGGCCGAGTGTGGGAGCGAGAGTATTTACAGCTTTTCCGCATTTCCCTTATATTTCATTTTCCCACAAAAAAGTGTCCTATCAATTTTTGAATTTAAAAGCCCACCCAAAAAAAAATTAAAATGAAAATAACAATTTTTTGTTGGTAATTTTAAAACGATCTAATATTCAAGATTTAAAAAAAAAAAACAACAACCCTCTACCCACATTTTTTTACGTTACCTGTATCACAATTCTCATTAATCTCGTACACCGGCGTGACGTTGTGGCACAGCGCCAACGCCTGTACGGCGTCCCTAATCCTGGTATTTTCCGAACGTTTGAACTTCGCCGCGCCGGCGCTGGAGCTCTCCGTAGCGACGAAGCAACTCTTCAGCACCAAACTCACCTAAAAGTTCAATGACGCGATTAATTAAACCGTGTACAAATTTCGATTCCCGTTTACCTCGTCGAAACTGTCGGCGGCGTAACTGACGGTCCCCAAATGCAGCCGTTTCAGTACCATGGAATTCTGGGTGAGCGTGCCAGTCTTGTCGGAGAGCAGGTAGGAGATCCTGCCGAGCTCCTCGGGGATGGTCGTGCAACGCACGGTCGTGCCCTTCATCGCGGGATCTTTTCCTATCGACCAGGAGTAGAAGGACTTGCCCATGTCCAAATTCACCCTCAAGCTGAGCGGAGGAGATTAATCATCGTTTATTTTTATTTTTTCAAAGTGTATACCAAATTTTAACAAAAAAAATCCGATTGTAACTGATTTTAAAAAAAAAAAATCGAAGGTTGCATATATTTCCTACAAAATTCCTAGCTTCGCTTTTAATTATACTCACCTAATTGGAATAATGTAAGAGAACAACAGGATAAACCTAAACATGTAACGGTACCAAGGGCCGCTGAACCCCTTCAAGGCCATCATCAACAGGGCCAAACCGATCACGGCAGCGAACAGCAGTTTCGTTATCGTATTCACCTCGATGTCCAACAGACCTACTTTCGATCTGGGCGCCGAATTATTCATCACGGACCTTGTCTCGGGCCCTACAAAAATACGTTTTATTCACAATCACGCGAATTCCGAAACGGACCAATCAGTTACCCGTGTAAATGACGACGCCGGTAGCCTGCCCGGAGGCGATGACGCAATTAGTCCAAAGGGTGTTTTCCAAATCCAAGCTCTCGTCGTTATTTAGAGAGTCCATCTAGAACACAAGAAAAATATCCTTAGCGCTGAAAAAAAAGTTATAAAACCAACTAAACTGAGGTTATGGACGAGGGAAATCAGATAAATTTCATCAATCTTCAGTGGTTCCACAAGGGTCAATTCTGGGGCCACTCTCATTTGTTATTTTCAACAATGACCTAACCGAATGCTTCGATGTCAATTACTTACACCATACGGACGATCTTCAGTTGTTTTTTTGAAGGTTAAATCTTCAAGTGATTGCACCAGATTACAAGATAATCTTGATGAACTGAATAGATGCAGTAATTGTGCTAATTAAAATGGTTTAATGCTAATGTTTCTGTCAAATTTATTTTAACTGACTGTGTCAACAGATGTATGTGAGGAAGCAGTTTTAAGGACATATTTTTGGTCAACATCAAAATATAAACCTAAATTTGGGGCTGTTTTATTACTGAATTTATGAACAAATAAATGAATAAACAAATAAATAAATTTTTAACTCTTACCCGACTAAATGTCCCAATAAAAGAATGAATGTCCTTCTGGGGCTTCTCGGCGTAAATGCTGGCGCTAATTTCAAACAGCTGATGGTCCGTCGACAGTTTTTGTGTCGCCGGCACAGCCAGTCTCAGTTTCCAGTCAGTCTCGCCGTCCAACTGGTCTGTTCTAACAAACACGGCTCCACTACTTTCCGAGGTTCTCAGTAATACTAAATCGGCAGGTACTCGTTCATCTTTATCGACAATAATCAAATCACCAACCTAAAAAAAAATTAAACGATAAAAGTGTTAAGGAAATATTCTTATTCAACGGGTAATCGTTACCTTCAATTTGTGAGCAGCCACAATTTCAAACGGCTTGTTTCTATCGTTCAATAACCTTTTGCATTTCTGGTTATTAACCTCCTGGTCTCTTTTGTGCCTTCTCAAGTCGTCTATTGCTTCTCTAGATATCGTAACCAGAAGTACAAAACACTAAAAATAAAAAATAATGCACCTACATATTCCTACATTTCGATAAATTACTTACTAGAGGACCCCAATACGTATACAAGTACCCGATGCGAATATCGGGCACAAACTGACTAATCGCCATTATGAGGAAATAAAGATTTAAGAAAAATTTAAACTGTTGGAACAAAACCAGAGGCAAGAAAGTTATTATGTTGTACTTCTGGTTTCTCACGGCGTTTGCTGGAAATTGACCGGGGGTGGGTTTTCCCAACAGTATATTTCGAGATCTCAGCTCCCTGGGGCCACAACATCTTCGAAAGATGGAACACCAACAACTATAATAATTAATAAATAGAATAAGTCAGTTTAAAACAATACGCATCATCTTTATCGATGATTCCAGGAAATACCTCCATGAATATTCTCTGTGAGCCTTTGTTATTAAAGGTATGTCCTCCTTTGATGTTTTTGTGATGGTACTTTGAGATTCGATGTTATCAATCATCTTACAGTGACGATCCTTTTCTATCTGTTATATACTTTACTAAATCGTGCACTTTACAAAACTACATTACTAGAAAAAATATGTAGACCGTAAAACAACCACTAATTAGAAAATTACGTTCACCATTTATCTCGCGACATTGACAGATGACAGAAAAATGACAACACCTACGGTTGGCAACCTTTATAATTTTTAGAGGCAAAAGTACCAGGAAAAATAATTATATTCAAATATAAATTACGAAATATGCCATAAACATAAATTCTAGTTATTTAAACTATAAACAGAAAGACATAAAATCATAAAGCAGTGAGTCATAAAATTTTATTATAATTAAATCTTTAAATAATCTGTTATGAATTACTTCAAACATGAGCATGATTTTATGTGCAATATGTAACAATAACCAGCAATGCACGATTTTTTTGATAATAACAAATTCGGCTAACCTGCACAAAACGCTTCCTAGGCTTCTACGCCTTTTTGGGTTGCGGTTGGTCCTAGCTGTGTGAACATCCATTTCGTTTCCATGACTCGAAGAATGGCCAAGTAAAAATTCTGTTTCGTTGTCGCAGTCAAAATCTTGTAAGGGATATTCCATAACAAAAACAACAGCTTTTCATAATCACTTCATGTTCATTATTTTAGTCTCATTCAAGACTATTTACTTCTTTGATAAAGCACATAAGGAGTTCACTGTGTGAGTGCAAGTATACGGTTTATACCTTTAACGAGTGTTACTATCACTAATTTAAATTACTTGGAATAATTGATACTGTTTTGGACATTATGCTCCTTGACACTTGACATTAACAGATTTATCAAATTTACATTCCATTTTGTTTAGTGCTTTTATTATGTTTGTATTGGCATTCCGATTTAGTTAGTGATTTTTTTATTTCATTTCTTGTTCTTAAACTTGGTGACATTGATTTCTTATTTGAAAAATATAATTTCTTTGTTGATAAAGAAAAAAAATAGATTCTTTTAAACAGGAGGTAAATTTTGCGTAAAATTATACGTATGTATAATTTTTTTTATTTACCTATATTTATCACAGAACACAGAATTTGGAATACACTTTTGAAGGTTTGAAACCACATCACAATAAATGTGACCAACATAAAGATTAGAAGTTCCTATTCTTTCTCTTTTCTTGTTTTGGGTTGACGTAAAAGGTATGTTTTAAATCTAAAATTTACAATAATAATCTTGTAATAAAATACCTAAATGGTAGTTTAATACAACAAATTTATATGGATTATACAAGTATTAGTAAATATTTTTTTTAAATTTGAAATATTGCGATCCTTTATTAGTGAACATAACCTAATATTTTGTTTTTATTTTAGGATTGCTTTTGAACCATGGCAAAGTCAAAGAATCATACAAATCATAATCAGAGTAAGTCTATGAAAAGTTAATATTAAGCGCAACCTGTAATTTGAATCAATTTTTAGATCGCAAGGCTCATCGTAATGGAATCAAGAAGCCAAAACGTTTCCGACATGAATCCACTTTGGGGGTATGTATATCACAAATTAAAGACTTGTTTCAAAAGAAACGTTTGTTTCTAGTCAATAATTATTATTTACTATTTGAATGCTTAAGAAATGTAATTTTAGATGGATTCCAAATTTTTAAAGAATCAGAGGTTCTCGAAGAGGCACAACTTGAGCACGAAACAGCAAATAAAACGTGCTGCTGAAAGGAAAGCCGAGCGAACAGCTAAAGCTAAGAAGTAGATGTAATTCTTTTAGAAAATAAATCCATTTTTTAAGTTAAGACTTTTTGTTATTTCATTATGGATAAAAGTGCGGTTTGGTGATATTAAAAAAAGTATTAGAAATTATCTTTAATTTAAATTTTACAGAATACATTCACATTACAGGCATAATGTATGTTAGAGAAAAAAGCCGAGTTATAGATCGTCATTCAAAATTGTAGCCAACAAATTACATTAGAAAATAAAACTGCTTGGTAAAAAAAAATAAATTTAATACGAGACCATAAAGTAAAAATATACATATCACTGACTATTAGCTTGATTTAAAAATTGAGTAACTTTGGTTTTGGTCGCGGTTGGTGCAAGTTTCCTGAATTTACTCGATGAAATGGCCGAACCCGATTTGTGGCGTTTCAAACCAGTCTGAGTGGGCTTTGGTGACGGGAAAACTTCCTCTCTACTGGAACCCCCTAACCCGTTGTAAACCACTTCATGGTTCACCTTCAATTGCTTGATGTTGTCCAAAGTTTTCGTTGCAGTCTTAAATATTGAAAACTGCAAAATGATTGGTTACTATTTGTTATTTTTATTGATATCACCAAGGCGGCCATGAAAATTGTATAAAACAATTGACAAACTCAACTGTTTAATATAATTTTCATGGCCATCCCAGCAATATTGAAAAAATGACGTAAAAGACGAATAGTTCTTACCCCGTTTTTAGTCGCGCCTATTTTGGTTTTACTATGTAAAAGAGATGCGTAATCCAGGGGGATGTTACTTGATTTTACTGGCAGATAAGGCGAATCTGAATCGACAATTTTCTGAACTTTTTCTTCCTACAAAAAAATATGTAGAAAGATACCGAGACACGAGGAATGATTAGTCTTTACCAAGGAAGGTGATGCTGTGTCGTTTATATCGTGGGAAGCGGACAGCTGGGGCGTTTTATTAAAATTCACCGGACTTTCTGTTATTATCCGTTTAAAACTAGTATTTGTGACGTCTAAATTTTCGGCAGATATTTTTTTGTTCAACTCGCATATCTTATTTTTTAGATATTGTTTTTCTTTCTCCATGTTGTCTCTTAAATACTGCATTTCTTTTCTAAAACAAAGTTGCCCCTTCAAAGAGTGTAAAAAATTCATAATTAGGCTTTATTAAGCATAAATGTAAAAATGAAGAAGTCTAAAGTAGGGTGTACAGTGATCTGGAAAACTGGGAAAACCTGGAGTTATTAAGGACTTTCATAGATCTGGAAAACTCACAGAATTTTCTTAAATTTTCCTGGAATTTTGTAAAATTACAGTTGCGATCAGTATTTATTTACGAGATGTTACCACTAGATGTTACATTTAACGTTCCCATTTCCTTTTTTGTCATATACAGGGTGGACCGAAGTGTATAAACAGGATTCGTAGCGACTTGGAAAACTGGAAATACCGGGAAAAGTCAGGCAATTTATTATTCATAAAAAGCAGGGAATAGTCGGGGAATTTTAAAAGTATTCATGAAAGTCAGGGAATTTGATGTTTGCAACTGGAAATTTTGTGAAAGCCGGTCCTGGGTTCTTGAAAGGGAAAACTATTTGTGGTTTTTGAAAACTTTATAAGAGATTCTTTGGGTTTAAAAAACGATTAAGGAGTTCAGTCTAGAAAGAGCATAAACACCACAGACATAAACAGCAACAGAGTAAAACTAATTTTTAAAAAAATATTCAAAATGCTTAAAAATAAATTAAAATTTATACAGGTATTTCACTTTTCATCTGTTATAAGCAACGATGGTGAACCTAAGTAAAATATTACCTCATTTTTCTGGACGTTATTTATTAATAGGAAAACTTAAAAAAAAATCATGCATTTATTTTTCAAATTACTCATTTTTGAGTGCTAATTATTTTAAGTTTATTAATTATTTAGTTACAACAAAATTTAATCATTACATTTATTATTAAGCAACAGTTAAATAAAAAAATGTTCATCCAAATTATAAATTTCTAATAAGCGAAAAAGTGCCCATTCATAGATATCTCGGGTATATTCACCTACCGATGAGGACTGGCAAGTCCAAAGCCAGCATATGTCTGGCGGTTTGACTGACGAACAATCCTAGCCTGTTTTACTAGATATTGCAGGTACCATTCAATGCTAGTTATAATTTTTTTTTCGTAAAGAACAAAAATCTGTGTAAACTATCATTTCTTTGCTTTCAGACGTTTTAAACATATTGAATAAATTTTTCACGTTTCAATTTGAATACCATGTATCTCAGAAAGTAAGCGATTTTCAGCCCATATTAGAAAGTTTTTTAAATCAAATAAAAGTAACGGACAGCTGTATAATTTTTTAAATAATATTTATGTAGGAGATTCAATAAAAAAAATATATACTAATGAACATATACTAATTTCTCCTTCTTACTGGAACAATATAAAATTGAAGCGTTCAAATTCGTTAATTAGCCCGATCAAATATATTTTGAAAAACATTACCTCAAATCGTTATTTTGGCATTCTAGCGTGGTCACTTCTCTCCTGTACTTATTAGAGTCATTCTGTGCCCTTTTCAAGTTATAGTCCATGTCACGTTTTTTTCTCTCGGCATCTAACAAGGACCTAAAAAATATATATAACTCTATCGAACAATTCTTTCTATGCCACAATACTTTTTTAAGGTTGCGGATAATATAGCCAGAGATTCGATGTTGTTCTCGTTCCGCAGTATTTCGTTGACCTCTTCTCTCGTACCATTCAATGCTATCTGAATGTTTTCCATGTCCTTAATACTGTGCTTCAGCTTCATCACCTCTTCTGCGAGTTTATCGCTATCTCTCGCCTTTGATTTGAAGTACGAGATTTGTTCCTTGAGGGCATGCATGGCAGATTCATGAACCCTCATTTTACTTTCCAATTCAGTTACTTCTTCTCTAGATATATATATAAAAAAGTTATGTGAGGTTTAGACGACAACGTCTATAATTCGACTTACCTTAAAAGAGTAACTTTATGTAGAGATTTCTTGTACTTATCTTGATATATTTTAACATCCTTTTCCTTTAAGGACATCTGAAATTGGATATTCTCAAGCTTACTCATTAAAGTACCTACATCGTCTGTGATCCCATCGGTGTTCGCTAAATTGAAATATACCCTATGAATTGTTTTTTCTGTTGACTTACACCTACATTGCGGACAGGTTTTCGATCTGAAAATTCATTGCATAGGGAAGAATCTAGTATAACTACTTTATTCGATGTCTACAGTAGAATATCTTTACGGAACAAGTTTTATACCTTTCTATCCAGTGTAGTAAACAGGCAAAGTGGAACATGTGCCCGCATTGTGTGATGTAAACTTCAGCTGCTGGATTAAATAAATCGCTGCAAATCACACAGCTTATGTTCATTTTGTATCAATATTTATAAAAGAAGCTGAAACATGTAGGTTACAACTGTTTATCCATTAATACTTATAATAATGACTTACTGATGTGTTTGTTGAAAAAATAATCAATATAATCAATAAAATATACGTATTTTTTTTATTTGTCCAAAAAAACATTGTACAGTTTCATTTTCAGTACCATGCTTTTGACGTTTGTTGACAAGTAAATTCGCGGGAAAAATTGAATAAGTACGCATGCTCCAACTAATTATGTGTAAAAGGTATTTGAAAATTGAAGATCTTTAGACTTCTTCTTAATAAGTAAGTATTGTCTAAGAAAATTTAAACTATTAAATTTGCAGTAATAGTTTAATACTGCAAAAAAATGTATATTGGTGCATGGCTTTTACATCATTACCTTGTATTTGAACAAAGTCTTTCAAGGTCCCATGGTGTAATGGTTAGCACTCTGGACTCTGAATCCAGCGATCCGAGTTCAAATCTCGGTGGGACCTTTTTGTTTCATTAAAATTTAATTTTTTTTTATTAAATTTATTGTAACGTGTTTTAAATATTGAGGTGCAGATACATCTTTATTTAAATGTCCTTGGGACACGTTCATTTAAAAAACAATCGAATGGAAATATAAAATAAATTAAAAAAAAGTGTGCCAAAACCCGGGATCGAACCAGGGACCTTTAGATCTTCAGTCTAACGCTCTCCCAACTGAGCTATTTCGGCTGTATCCATTTTGTTTAAAACACTTGATTTTTCAGTACAGCATACTGTTTCATTATTAATAAAAAATTTAAACATCGGACAAAGCCTAATTATGTTGCAATATTAAATCTACTTAACGTCTATTTTCGCAGTGGCTCGAACATATACCAAATCAAACGTTGCTAGATTTGAATCCCAGTCCTAAAATTGATCAAAAATTGTCAAACCAAGACAGTTTCCATAGTTCTACCGGATCAAGACATTCCTATTTTGTTGAATATTCCCGTAATGTCAAAATTGCCGTAAAATGGACGACCTAATATCCCCCTTCGTAAAATTCCTATCAAACACCATCATGGTCAACATACATTCATATCCAAATTTTTCAATGGAAACCATACTGTCCACAGTCGTTTGTGTGGTGCACTGTCTCCTGATTTTCGAGGTGAATAGTCTGTATCGCCGCACCAACGCCAAAGCAGCCGCCAAACTGAGAATGAGACACCCCATCAAAGGTAAAATTCAATTTTCATATCCAACTAAATTGGCAAAGCGAAATTAATAGTTTTAAAAATGATAACTTGGATCAATTGACGGGTTGAACTCTAAAAAATATTCCTTTAAACTATCAACTATTGAAAATGAAATGATATTAAAATTTTGAATATATAGGACACCTAAGAAGCAAAGAACATAATAAAACATAAATGATAATTCAGTTTTTTTCATTCAACTCAAAATAATCGCAGTCGATGATGAAAAATGTAGTTGCTCCTACTCACCATTTAGCTTTCTTTGCTAATTTTGTCCCCTATATCTTCATTCTATTTATTTATTTAACACGTAGGTAAGTAGCCTCGAAAAGCATTAAACTAATTTCGTTTTTATATTTTTTAGATGGGTCAACCCGTCACATAAAATTGGCAGAACTGCCCGAAGATTGGAAAAAAAGAAATATCTTAACGATATAGGCAATAAATAAATGAGATGTCAGAAACGTAAATGTAAATTCGAGTTTCAATAAAACAATCCAAATGTATCAATTAAAATGCTTTTTTGTAACTCTTGCTTTGGGATACCAACTAGCAAAATAAAATTACTGTCAATAATTTTGGTACAAGTTGTCACGAATTTAACAGAATTTTACTAAAAACTGCTCAAATATTCTTGCTCTGTACACTTTGCTGCTAAGTTTATTAAAGAATTTGCTAGAAATTTTCTTTTAAATATTGCTATTTGTGGTAGTGTTACAACTATAATTTTGTTGAAAATCACTTTAACAATAACAAAATGACAAATGTCGTAAAACTTAGTAAATATAATTTTTAATATAAAACATTAAGCACTGCATGGTAAATATTCAAAAATGAACAGAAATACAAACTTCTTTATTCAGTAAATATTCGCTGACAACTTATAGTTAAAAGAAATTTAGTTTAAATTTATACAGGGTGCTTCACAAAAATGAAAGCTCGTATTCTTTGGTGAATTTTGTCTTTTTTTTTAAGTTTTTATCTAGGATGCTTCGTTAAAAAGATAAGTAATAATTTGAAATTGGACGCATGTAAAATTTACATTCTCCGGTGGCGGAGATACAGGTGGCATATTTTTCTAAATAAAATAGTACGCCACTGTTTTACGGTAACAACCACGATATTTTCGAATTCGTCTTTCAATTTTCTACAAATTACTACTCTCTTAAATTTTTATTATAAAAAGTTCTAAACAAACAAAAGTTCTAAACAAGTTTAGACAAAACTTTTGTCTAAAACATTTTTTTTTAAATATTTAGTTTTTTTTAATGAAAAAAACTGTTTTTACGAACTGTGGACGCCATTTTGAAAATGAAGCCCCAACATTCAGCTGGGGTAAAGTAGGTCTCATTCAATTCTACGGAGTTTTTCTTAATTTTTACGTGTCATTGTTCTGAACTAAATTTTGGCAAACAAAACTAAGTATTTTCGACAATTTGACTGTCATGGACTGGATATGTTGCAGTTTCTTGTTCAGTGGACTATAGCTTTGACAACCTTCAGAGGATCGTTATTTTACGGACCCTTTTTGAGTTTATTGGCCTGCCATGATAGGGAATACTTCACAGAATTATAAAATCAATAATCTTATAAACAGTTCTTATGAAAATAGGTTGTTAAAAAACTTAAATTGTTTCCAATGTAGCAGATCTACTCGATCTTTAGTGATTTTAGCTCCTCAAATGGGACGCTGTTCCGATATTAACGACATTTGACTATTTTAGAGGTGGAAAGTTGCTCCTACCACACGCTCTCCCATTTCCAAACCCAGATCTTCCCCCAGAAAATCGAAACCACCACCACCAAGCAATCCTACTATACAGGTATGCCCTACAAGCGCATCAACAGGAAGGTGAGCACTACCTCGAACTTCGGCTGGGTGGTATCCCACGGCGACTCGTTGCTGAGGCACAGCTTCAACGAGAGGGTGGAGCACCTGCTGAGTATATCCCCCAGCGAGTACGTGAGGAAGGACAAGGAGAGGAAAAGCAAAGAGGCCGGTTTGAGGACGTGCATTCAGTCGTTGACTTCCCTTCTCGAGAGGGCGCTGAACACCGACGGAATGGACGTGCAGACGCTGTCCAAGGACGCCATTAAGAAGAGCATCAATGCTATCAGGGAGAACTTCGAAAGTCATATGTCCAGGTGAGGGTGGAACGTAGGTAGCGTGTCCCAAGTGGATTACACCATTTTATTTTCCAGAGAGACTTATCCCATGGGGGCTTTCGCCAGCGCCAGCTTGCAGAGCCTCATAGCTAGCTCCATAAACAGGAGGACCTTGCGGAACTCCTTGCTTCCCCAGCTGACGCCTGCCGAGAGCAACGTCGACAACAAGTTCAGTGAAGGAGACGTCAACACCGACGAAGAGGAAGATACGAAGTTCGAAGATTCTTTGATGAATCTGGTAGATAGCAATTGTAGGGATTCTCCCATGAATTTGGTGAAGAGGAAAAGCTCGGGCAACTTGACCGACTTACTTAACGATACTTTCAATAACAGCAGCATCGAAATTATCAGGGGAAATAGTCGACAACAGCAGCAAGAGTGCTTTGCTTAGACTTGAAATGTTCCGATTTGTTAAGTTTATGATTTTTGCCTCAATTTTTTTATATGTTAGTCTTCAATAACGGATTTTTCTTTTATACTGAGTTGACAGATATGTTTCCAGATGAAGGGAATTTATATAATCAAATCAATGTGTACCTATTCAACTTTAATAAAAACATCCTTTAGAATGTATGTATTTTAATTTGAATATTATTTATTTTGTCCAGTCCAGGATTTCGAAAACTGATCTATCTCACCAATCGGAACCGAGAAGCCTTCAGCGCCACAGGATATTTTGGAAAATCCATAACTACTCCTTATGGTGATTTCAAGAAAAAAATCTCTCAATTTATTTGAAATGTAAATCTGCTTTTATAATACTTTTTTTAGTTTTTATTAACATTCCCAAGCACTTAATGAAACCTAATCTCTAGAACTTCTTGTTTCACAAAAAAAAATCTTACGCCGCTGTTGATTTTCTTCGGACATGATAAAAATGCATATTTAGCAAAAAAATCCTACGAACCTTGGTCCAGAAGCGTTAAATTTTTTGATTTTCCTATACAATTGTAAATAATCGAAATTATACAAGTAACAGCAACAACATCTATTCCAACATAACTATTATAAAAATAATTAAAAAAAAACATTCCGCAGTCAGTAGGATTCGAACCTACGCTCCCAGAGGGAATCTGATTTCTAGTCAGACGCCTTAACCGCTCGGCCATGACTGCTCATGCCTAAAATAAGTTTTTTGTATGTGAATTCGTAGCCCGTAATAAATTAAGATATTTTACATCATTCTTCAAAGATACTAGAACTAATTCTATTAATCTATAGTTATTGTTTGAAGTTTCTAGGATTTTAAATACGCCAATTCATTAATTTTGTCTGTGCAAATGTCTAAAACGTATTGCAGTTATTTTTGTTAGATTGTAAGTAAATACTCATATCTCGTAGTGAAAGTAGATCAGTTTTAATTACACTTAATAAGTACACTACGTGCTTATTCAATACAAATAGACATTATGCACGCACATAGGTAAATGTTTGTTTTGGAAGCTTTCACATTGTTTTCATTCAAAACAAATCAGGCAGAAATCAAGTTTATAAAATAACAATCTCCAACTGAACACCCAGTGCATTTTTTATCTTGTTTATCTACAAATGAGAAATTATTAATAGCAGCACGCAAATAACTAAAGCAATTCAACTGTAAATATGAACAATAAACGTGACGCCGATGACAGTGACCTTGTTAAAGTACAGAGCTATATTTATAGTTCAACGAATATTTAGACTTTTCGTTTTTTAAATTTAAATATAACGATCTCTTGGAGTTCACACTACCAACCAATAGTTGACCGCATTTATATCGGCGTTTTATTCTGATTGGTTGATATAAATTGCCCCTTTCCCATTAGCGGGATGTTGGTATTACCAGTTGGCTGCATTGGTGCCAAATTTAAAAGTTTTCCCTAATTTTACTTAAATTAGGATACCTTTGCTTTTATGATGAACAATTTTAATTATTATAAATAATCTGGAAGTAAACTATTATGGCTTACCATTCAGTAAGACAATCGGTCCAAATGCTAAAGGAAAATTGGAAAAATTGTAGGTTCTTAAAAGTTGGTAAATTACTGGAAAATGTGTGACGGTCATTTTGGTCATTGAATTTGTGTTTCGTTTTGCTTATTGTACATTTCTGTACAGTATTTGTACTTTTATAATAAAATAATTGCCTTTTCATGCCGGTTGCTTGTCCCACATACAAGATTTTAGAAAAATATGTCACTCCACAGGAAATTGATCATAGGGATTTAAGAAAGAAAAATAAACATTGACAACTAGGCATATTAACTATTTTATATAGGATGATAATTTTCAAATAACCGGTCATTTACGATCACTGACTTTGATCACTTACAATACCTACTTAATTGATTATTTACATCGTGCTAGTTGTGGTATTTGATGTTAACATTTAACCAAAAGTTTACAAAATAGATTGTGAAATGTGAATGTAAATTTCCGGTAGTTTCCAACTATTTTTACATTTAGTGAAATGTGGCAATGCTGCGGCAGCTTTGAAGCAGAAACGAGATACCTCAACGAAAAATTCAGTTTCATTTTATAAAGCAGAAGGCAGCAGTGACAAAGGTTGAGTCGCTTACGGGGTAGATTGAATAGAACGGTTCTTTGTGAGGAAACTTTGTAAAATTCAAGGTATGTATTTTATTCCTAAATGGTCAGTCGTTCACAGTAACACTAAATAAATTGGTTTTACTGGCTAGGTTAACAAATAGATTTTGTGACAGAAATGTCTTTTTCTATCGATTGGAATGCTTAGCTTCCTTTTTTGTGTGGTGAATCTCGCCAAATCCGGTATTAACCAGATTATTCATATCAATTACACACTTCTAACGGTTTCTAAGCTATTTATTCGTTAAATGATATCATTCTCCATTTTAANCTCAACGAAAAATTCAGTTTCATTTTATAAAGCATAGCCTAGGCACTTGATATAAATTACTGTAGACACGCTTTAGTTTTACCACATACCGCTAGATGGCGCAAATCTCGTCTACAAAAATGTATGAAGAGTGTCCTATCTATCTTAAGTATATAATCTAGGTTATAAAGCAGAAGGCAGCAGTGACAAAGGTTGAGTCGCTTACGGGGTAGATTGAATAGAACGGTTCTTTGTGAGGAAACTTTGTAAAATTCCAGGTATGTATTTTATTCCTAAATGGTCAGTCGTTCACAGTAACACTAAATAAATTGGTTTTACTGGCTAGGTTAACAAATAGATTTTGTGACAGAAATGTCTTTTTCTATCGATTGGAATGCTTAGCTTCCTTTTTTGTGTGGTGAATCTCGCCAAATCCGGTATTAACCAGATTATTCATATCAATTACACACTTCTAACGGTTTCTAAGCTATTTATTCGTTAAATGATATCATTCTCCATTTTAAATTAAATGTCAAATGAGGTGATTATGAATAATTTTATTGCAGAATGACTTCAACCAGCTTCAACGTAGGTTTAGGTGACGGCTCCAGAAGTTCTAGTAGAGTTTTGAGGCCCCCGGGTGGCGGACACACCGACATCTTTGCGGGAGCAGAGCCCCTGCAGGTTCGAAAAGACAACGGACGCAACGCGTCCTCCATCCTGGAAGGTACCAATTCCAACGCCGTTCCACCGAGCCCAGTTAAGGCCCCAGCGCCTCCCCAGCCCCCAACAACCAATAATGAACCGGCCGCAGCACCGGCGCGCGGCAGGGTTCCACCAGGGGGCTTCTCTTCGGGGCTCTGGTGAACGAAGTTACCAAATATGAGACTTGTCGCTTCATGTACTTACTTGTGTGCAACTTCCTTCCTATGTGATACGGGAAAGCCAAATATTCATAATTTTAAATTTGCATAAGGCTTTCGACTAAAATTTCTCCTGACTGTAATGTTTTTATCAATATTTTAAATTCGTGTTACTTTGCAAAACTTGTGTACAATTTTAACAAAGTATGTTTTTTAACGACTGCTATAAATTTGATACTTTTTGTAATAAATGTTTGGAAACTTGGACGATATTTTTATTTGGGTTCGATAAACAGTGTGAAATGTCGATTAAAAATTTTTTTTTGCATGTAATATGGTTCAAATTTTTTTATGTAAAATTTGGCAATCTAATTTCAAATTTCATGAAAATAACTAAATTTCTAACTTTACTATAGCTTAAATTTAGAGAAATAGGAAAAAATTTTAATTTATTTATCCAGGAGGTTTTGAAATTAAATAGTTTAGAACAAAACGCAAACAATAAAAAAAATAAGATGGCAATTTAACAGAAAACTAATTTTCAGTTATATTTTGTTCTTTTTTGTGCATTTTCTATATTTTTTATTTAATTGCAAGGCTTTCTAGATAACCAACAAAATAATATTTTCCTCGATTTCATTATCAGTATTTATTTTCAAGGTTTTATGGGAAAGTTGAAGATAATTACGAGAAATTGCTGCATTGCTCTATTTTAAATATAAAAATCCCTATCGACTTCTAAAAAAAATATTTTCTAGAAAATCATGGCAGGATTTCTAATTTGGTTTCAACAGCTTAGATGTAACTGTTAAACCAATTATGATGATCAAACTGGTCTAAATAGCCTTCTGCAACTTGTTAAAGAAAAGAAATTTTTTTGTCTACACAGCTTCAATCAACATCTAAAACCTCAGTATCTCAAATATCCTCAATCTATAATACAGAATGATTTTATAGAGTTAATAAAGTTTAAAATTCATTAAGTTTCTGCCTCAGCTTAAAAATCTAGTAGGCTTGGACCTGCCTGAATATGAAAAAATGCCCAATTATTTAATACTGCTGATTGTAACTGACAAATAATTCAGTTCAATTAAGGATATTCGTTACATCTCTTGCGGGGCAGGCGGTGCGGGAGGAAAGCCTATGCTTATACACGGTAGTTTCGTTGTAGCACCAACCTTACATAAACTAATTTGAGCGAACTAAATATAATAAATACGAATAAAATTTATACAACACATATTAGCTTGCATATATTTTTCGTGTTTAATGCACGGCAATTAACTTTTTATTTGAATAAAAGTGTCTATTTATTCTGGCAACATTGTTATGGAGTGGTAGTAAAAGTTGGGTCAACTGTCATTACTGTCAACTTTGCGCTTATTCCGTAAACATGAATGAACATCCAAGGTACAAAGGAAAAGTAATGACTGAAAAGTAATATAAAATGCGTATGAAACAGAATGTGGATTGATGAGAAAAAAGTAAAATATGCAAACCGAGAATCCATATGATAACTATCAAGTTCAGTGTATGATTGATGATGATGTTGTGATGTATGAGTGAGACGTCGCCTTGTCAAATTGAAGATTATGACAGAACATCAATACTGTTCGTTTTGCAAAGAGATCCTTTCAATTTTTGTTTCAAATTGCTATTATATTGCATTAGATCACGAAAAATGTATTTAATATTAATTATTACTACATATGTTTTCGACTGGAATAATTTTATAGTCTATAATCGAGCTATTCAAATATAGCTCGTCAGTCGAAGCGTTAAATACAGCGTACAGTGTTGCCATATTTCCTTTCATTGGATCAGATGTTTGTTCAAATTTGTCAAAACGTTATATATTCATTCCATTATCTCAATAATTACATTGTAAGTGCATATTTTTATTGTTTTAAAATGTTTAGTAATATTTAATTCTTTAATTACAATTTTATTTTCCCGATCCTAACCATTTTTAAGAGCATTATTCGCGTTTGATTAAAGTTTTTGCCCCAACTCCCATAAGACCATGTGTATAAAAAGCATAATTTTTGATATAATTTTTCAAAAAAACTACATTGGCAATCGATCTGATATTTTTACACGAGACAGTTTGCATATTTATTAACAGATTTCAATTGCTTTGAAAACTTGCTTACCATTTTTTTTTCGGTATCGAACCTCCTTAAGTCAAAGTTTTAGGTCCTCCACAAAATTTTCAAACATCCAAAGCCTACTAGATTCTTATTATGAAACACAACTTAATAAAATTCGTTCAAAAAATTCTGCTTGAAAGGGTTTTAAGTGATGTTCATTAAGACTTCTCAAAAATCGTTAAAACAATTTTCGAAGAACCGCTACCACAAGAAAATTACAGTAGGCTGTGCGTTGCCCACTGGATTATCCCAATTGGTTCAGCAAATTTATCTAGGAGGCCACTATGTATGAAATAGGATTCATCAGAAAAACAAATTTAGAAATAATATTAATTTTTTAAATATCTTCTAAAATCAGTTCAGATTATTAAAAAAAACAATGATTCTGCACCTATTGTGATAAGTTAATAAAAGAATATTCAAGAATTAAAGGTTCTTATCAGTGACTAACTAAAATAAATAAACCATACCGGAAAATAAAAAAATTTATCTTTTATAACCACTCTAGTAAACAAATTTTTATATGATACATCATATACAATAACTATTTATCTTATATTTGTACAGTTTTTATCTCATATTTTTCTCCGCCGATTTTATTATACGATAAACATTTACGCTGATATTGATTAGAGCCACTTTTGGCTGACTCATGGGTTTCATTGCAACTTTTAAATGAGAGAAAATGCGAAAAAGTCGTGTATTGTCAACATCACTTATTGATTCAGAGAAATTGCCAAGATAATACAGCTCTCAGTACTTATGGTGGCACCAGTTTGATGTTAATCTATAAAAGTACGATGACACATTTAACAATAAAGTAGAAACTTTGTAATGAGAAAACTATGTGAAAGTCTAGATTGAATGATGAAAAGTACCGTGTAAATTTTATTCCACATTGAAAAATCTAGTTTTGACAAGCTACAGGATACTTATTTGCATAGTTGAAAGTTTCGACTCCTCAGTAACAGATGTCGCTGTAGGCACTAAACTAAAAAGCTTCAGAACACGACAATGTATTGTAGATATTTACTTACTATTTTAATGTCAAAGTAGTAACTGTTAGACTATTTTAGCCTATTGTAGTGGAGACAACCGTGGATTGCGTCACTATTTTCGTATTTTTATGAGAAATTCCTTCAGTGATGCCAGATTGATCCACTGAACTGCTACATATTTGTTATACTAAAACTAGGTATTCAGTACCTAATTTTTTTATCAGTGAAAACTATTGGCAGTGAAATTTCAATTAGGTACATTAATTACAAGAAACATTGCACGAATTTGTGCGTCCAAAGAATATTAATTTACACTTGTACAGGGTGTTTAATAAGTACGGTCCGTAACTTCAGGACACAACTTCTTTTGGTACTTAAAGAAAAAAAAGTTCCTATAAACATGTAATCGGAAATGCTTGGATTCCGAGATTTAGGGTGTTGAAATTAAAAAATAAATATACTAATATTTCAAATAAATTTGGAACAATGATTGTTAGGGTCATAAAATTTGGCAGTTATTGTACGTTGGTAACGAGCTGCATTTTTAGTATAAAGTAAATTCTTATTTGCCGCCAGTGGCGTAGTTAGGCGTGAGTCAGTCGACGTTTTCGTCATAAAATGTAGAACGCCTATCGATTTTTTAAAATTTGTATTATTTTCGGTCTCGCATAACATTTTACAGCAAAAAGGGTGTCTTGAATTTTTTGTCTAATACTAACCTTCCGAGTAGCGCGCCTGTATATCTATACAGGGATGGCCAGAAGTACGGAATAAAATTCATATCTTTTGAATGAGTTAATTTTTTTTAAAACGCCGAAATACGTTAACTGATTTTGATTTTTTCTCATCTTTCGGTTATATAATAATTCATGTTTCTTCAACCCCCTAACCCCCAGCTACCCCTACTTTTTTTTTCAAATGGAAACATAAGGCATGAGAGGGCTCGTTGAAAAGCTTATAGAAACCCGAATCCAGCCATACCAAATAAACAAGTTTTATTTTTTCAATAAGAATTTTTTTTTCATTTAGAAATTGAAACAACTAGACAATTTACAAAAATAAACTCAATGTCGCAAATGCTTATTTTTTTAATTTCTTATTCTATAATTTTTTTATTACTTCGTAAGTTTTTGATATATTTTGAAAAAAGGCGATTTTTAAAAAAAAATTATAAATTTGATTCAAAAGTAAATGAATTTTCTTTATATTTACGCTTCTAAAATCGTTCAAATTCCCAGAATCTACTGTTAATATATAAATAAAGTAAATTACAGAAGGAATACGTTTAATTTTTTTTTCCGTCGTCATCAATTTTAATACCGATTATTTTTTCTCAAAAATCAAGACAATCATTTTATTTTGATTGTAACTTCATTAGTTTTCATGCTAACGGATTCTACCATCACTCAATTTAAAGGTCTTTTCAAGCACTTTAATAGGTGTTACATAAGTTTTCCTCGAAAAACCTTTAATTTTTCCTCTGCAGGACGTTGAACGTTTCGATTATAGCTATCTTCAACTTCAACTTCTGGGAGTCATAACTCGGGTTTTATACCATCTACAAAAATAAAAAAACAATCTCTTTGCTATTTAATTACCTTCATTTTTGCTTATGATCATTTTTTTTGATAAAACTTGTAGTTTTTGAGATATTCGCGAAAAATGGTTAAAAAACATGCATTATTTGGGCTAAAAATGAACATATTTAGGCGCAAATAACTCAAAAAGTATTGACTGTACAAAAAATTCTTATAGAACATTTTTTGCTTAGAATTCGTCCCTTTAACGAATCGTGAGGTTATTTTTAATAAAAAAATTCCCACCCTCCAGAAGAGGTGGCATCCACCTAAGAATAAAAGCACACATCGGCACTATACAACTTTTGTTTCTTGAGCTATTCCCTAGCTACAGTTCAAATTTCACGTCAATCCATTCCATCCAAAAAAATTAAACAATTAAAATTTAAAAAAAGTACCATTAGAAGTTTCTCTGCGGAATATTGTTCCGAAACGTGTTATAAACAAAATATCAAAAAATCAACTCGAGACTAGTTCGGAAACTTTGTTAAAACAATGGTCAAAATTATGGAAAAGTGTTTTTTTGACTCGCGTAAAGA